TCCCTACATTTTAACCCAAGTCTGGGATTTCAGTTTGCAGTTTCTTCCTGAACAGGTAACAGTAAGCTCATGTGAAATTTTAGCAGAGGTTTAAATATCACTAGCTGCTAACTATTCATATGTGAAATTTTGTACATTCACAACAACCTGCATGTGCAAAATTGCCACTGTAAATGTAGAGGTTGATATGAAATGTGTGCTGTAACAGACCACAGTAAAGAACTGCCCTATGAAGGGAAAATTGCCTGACTTCTGTCATCTGAACACACTAACATACCAGCCATATTCAGAACCAAGTGATATTTTAAGTTTTTACAGAGTTCAGAACTGAAAAATACCATTACGATGTGCAATCTTGTTCTGTAATATAGTAGTCATAAATAACTGCATTTAAGGCTTGCTGATGTGAAATCTGTCAGAGCCAGGTGCTCAGCATTTGCAAACGACGTATCCATAACCTTCTGCCTGTTAAGAATTATAAAATGTCATTTGATTCTTGCATACCTGAAAATAACTAAGAGAGGACCCGACAACAAGCAGAGCCTGATCCTGCTGTTACCGAAATCCACAGCAGTTTTACTAATGTCAGACTGGGCATTTGAAAGCAGGAACTGCAAAAATTCTTCTTTTTAATAGCAAAAGTTGATAATCTTCACCTGCCTGCTCTGCCACCATGACACCAAACAAATTTAAATCACAGGTCTTTATTTCCTGATGAAAAGGAAACACTGAACAATCTCTAATCCTTTCATCTAAATTATGTTCCATTCAAATACCAATTCTACATAATTCTGCAGCTGAAAACCAAGCTATATTGCAAACCCACAAGCAGAGCCCCTCCTGACCAGAGAAGTCTTGTATGCCCAGGCCCTGGAACCTCCTCCAGTATTACATTTTCACCACAAGATTCTTGATTTTATGCTTTCTTTCCCCTTTTTGTCAATCCAGTAAGGAATTCTGGCATCCTGCAAGCCTGTCTATCAGGTTGATGCCAATGGTGACATTATGTGGCATTAGGAACTGAGAAGATGATTTACACAGGCAGGGCCTTGACAAATTTTGATTTTATGTTTGCACCATAAAGAAATGCGTACACCACAGAAGGGCACGGCTCTGGTCCGCTAGCCTGCAAGTTTACTAACAGAGGAACATGGAATTTGGCCACTTCTTCTGCAAAATCATACTTAAGACACAGTTATACTTCTTCCAAAAAGTCTACATTAGCATAAAGGCCAATGTTAAATTCCAGAATGATAGAGTAAAAGAAGATACAAAGCTCTGAGCTTCTTGAAGCCGTTATCAGTCTGATTCCCCAATGGCAGCAGAGCAGGTTTGGCTCATGCATGCCCTCTTCTAGGGTCTCACCTACCATTTTGTGTTCTGTAACCACCATCTTGTTCTCATTTGGACCCATCTCTTAACAGAAAAACTCTGGATGCAATTATCCTAAATACGGTTTCACTCTTACACAAATATATCTCTTGTTTTAACACTGCAATCTACACACATCTGGGAGGTTTTTGACCCAAAACTACATAAGCTAAGCTAGCACTTCATGTACCTTACTCAAAACAGACAAGTGGAATGTTTTAAATTTCTTTTATCCTTGACTACTTTAGTTGGCTTGCCTGGACAGTTTTGTTGTATCACTACTTTTATGCTGAGGTTTTTTTCCTTTCTTTACATTTTATCTTAGAAAGAGGGGTAAAAAAAAGTCAGTCTGTGAAAAATACATAAAGGCAATAAATTCAGCCCTAGTCAAGCAGAAGTATATGAGATCAGCACTGGCCATTGGCAATTTTAGCAACACACTGCCTGTAGAGCTGGTTAAACACCGGAGACCGCTCCAGTCCTTGAGCTGCTGTAGGGCAGCTGGCTCCAGCACGTAACAAAACTGTGGTTTTTGGAATCCCTTAAATGAGGGCAAAGGTTTGAGTCAGCCTCTGTTGGCACTAATTTGCTTTGTTCCCTAATGACTAAAAGGGGACAGGGAACATATATGTGAAGAGGACGGCACTTAAATTCACTTTCTATTGCTGTAGTCACGGTTTCAGGTTCTCCCCCGCTATTTCCCCACATAGTTGATGGGGCTGCACCTCGAAGCGAGGAGGAGGCCCATGAGATGGAGCCTCTTGAGCCTGGACACAGATGCATCTCCCTGCGGCTGCTGCTCACACCACAACTTCCCCTTTTACTTCTTTTAGTTACTTTTTTTAAAATATCTTCTTAAGCAAACATCTTTCATACAATCAACCATAAGAAAAAGTAACAGCCGAGCCCCCTCCAAGAGGTATTGCTGCACTGAACTGATGTTTCTCTTGGGCAGCAGGACAGGTTGAATTGTCCCCTTGACAGCAAGCACGGGACAGGGGCTGTGCCACTGGGGAGCGGGGATCCCACATCGACTGTGTGGTGCTGCCTGGAGGTACCCAAACACACCCAGGCAGGACATGACCACTGGGTAAAGCCACGTTGGCATGGCTCAGGACCGCTGTCAGGAGGTTTTATGAAGTGGCACGGTCACAGTGACAGCCAGTTGGGACCCGAGCACTTAATCCTTGCCTGCTGGTCCATGCACCCACCAAACCAGGCAGCAGGCACAGCAAAACAAGAGGCAAAACATGCCACATGCAAAAAAGAGGCTTGGAGGGGAAGGGTGGCTGTGAAGCTGAAGGGAAAAAAAAATGTGATCAGGCTTTGTCACAGGCAGCGAGTGTAATTGTAGGGTCCACCATGCTTCTGCTCCCTCTCCTTAATGGGCACGAAGCCAAGAGCTGAGAGGTTCCTCTGTGGTCACCTTAATCTTCTGGATTGAAATTGTTATTTAAGGAGCCAGCATTTGAAGTGGCATCACTGCTGGCTTTACCACAGCCTGGGTGGTGAGCAGAAGCCACGGAAGACGGAGGGGAAGACTATCGGTTCCTTCCTCCCAAACTCAACTTCAACACCCAAGCAGTTGCAGCTAAAATTTGCCCTCATTTGCACGTGGCTGTTGCTGGACTCACAGGGAAGCAGGAGAGCTTTCCTGGGCTGGGTGGAGGTCCACAGATCCCCATGTGGGAACAGACCCCCTGGGTGCTGCCTTAGGGCTTGGCCGGCACTCCTCGGGGGGCAGAGTGGGCCCAGAACAGACTTGGCTGTTACAGCTGTGAAGGGATTTCCAGCTCTGCTACTGAGAACTGAGTCAAAAAAAACCACTTAGTCTGTAATATTAGCCAGAGAGTAATTCACTTAAGTTGATTTTTCAGTTAAAGTTTCAGTTTCTTACTGTTTTCCTCATAATTCCCTGAAACCTAGGTTGACTCAGGTGACCAGTGTGCATTACATTCACTTTCTAGATGCTAGTATTTAACTAGCTGTAAAGGGCAAAATAAAAGGTGAAGAGGTATGAAGCGTTCAAGATAATCACTTCCCAAATACATCACACAGTAAAGTAATTCCTGTTTCATTAGCAGGAAAATACGTTTTCTGAGCCACACCAGCCACAATCTATCTGCTGAAGTCAAGGACTAGACATTTCCATTTGTGCCAGTTAATCACTCTGAATACGTGGACACACAAGTCCACGTCGCTGATGGTCAGCATGGGCAGAAGCCACCCACATACCTGAAACGCTCAGCAGCTCGGGAACAGCACAGGAAACAGCAGCACAATGTAAGACAGAGAGCCGAGGTTTTATAAAGCAACAAGACCTTGTACCAGCTCTCAATACTTTACAGGAGTCCTGGTGACACAACAGTGAAGGCTCAGCAGTCCATGAAATCTTGGAGGCATTTTGTACTGGGCATTGAAAACGAAGACACCCAAAACCACTGAAGTTCAGCTCTGGGCAGGATGATCACAAGTGCACTTCCACATGTGCTTGTTGGATACTTTGTTTTCCTTCACAAACTCACCCTGTTTTCTCCCCAGATTATGTTGCAGCCGCAGAAGTTGCTATGTAATTAATTACACTTTTGTCTCCATCGGCTCTATCCATCCAAATGATCATTTCTAAATGGTTTGGAAAAGCGTATATTTACTCCTTCAGTAATACAGACAAAATAAAGCAAGAGGACTCCTCAAGTCCTGCTCTGCTCCATGTGTCACTGACAGAATGGCACCCGAGGTACAACGCAGTGCACCAACAGAGAGGGTATGCACATCTCCCCATCCCAAATTCACTATGCGATTGATTAGGAAAAAAAAAGATGGGCAAGAGACAGTTTCAAAATCAAGGACTAATCCTTGATATCAACACTCACAGCACTATATATCTATTTTTAAAGCATTAACTTTTTTTATTCTTCTTTTTTGTAAGTGGTCCATAGTATTTGCTGGCACACAGAGATAAAATACTGGAGTGAAAAACAGAGACACTCTTTAAAAAACATCCTTCAAGGTGACAATTATGAGACAGTTCTAGGAGACTCACCCAGGAGTCTACAACAGCTACAACAGCCATGCCCTTTGGTGAAATCTGGAGGTATAGAATCACAGAATAGAGTCACAGAATGTATTGGGTTGGAAGGGACCTTCAAAGCTCATCCAGTCCAACCCCTGCAGTGAGCAGGGACACTGTCACCAGATCAGGTTGCTCAGAGCCCCATTAAGCCTGACCTTGAATATCTCCAGGGATGGGGCCTCCACCACCTCTCTGGGCATCCTCTCCTACTGGATCTACCACCCTCACATTGAAGAACTTTTTCCTAATATCCAACCCAAATTGACCCTTTTCTAGTTTAAAACCATCACCTCTCGTCCTATTGCTACATGCCCTAGTGAACAGCTCTTCCCAGATTTCTAAT